CCTCTCTTGTTAGAAACCCAACGGTGTTTATTAAACAGTGGCATAGAATGAAAAATTATACATTATATAATATGTTTGTTGTATTTGTTACGTTGCACGATCAACATAAGCAATCAATACAGAGAAGCTTAGGTTCAACTGTAAACTTCGTTTACGAGATTACGTTACTTTATAACCATACAAGTTTTTCGATAAAAACATGTGTCATAAGCGTGCAAAGAAGAAAAATGGCTTGATAGCTAAATATAATTAATAAGGTATAAAATTTATTTATTGTGGAAGGTTTTACAGTCAGTTTAAAGGATCTGGAGGGAGGCCTATTAGGAAAATGTTTAGTTATCTCGGTAATCTATCCAACGAAATCGCTTGTAGTTTCATAAACTAATTCATCCAACATAATGCCACAAATAGATTGCTCATGGTTTGAGCTTGGGAAACCTGCTATAATAATAGTAGCTAACGTTGGAAATTGTAATGACCAAGTTCGTACCTGCCAAAATACAACGTTATAGGTAACTTTGTCTATTACTCATTACTTCTACACTCTTTATATATATGCGTTATTTTAGGATAGTTTTTTTTTGGCGTTTTATTTATACTTTAACGACTGCGCGCCACCTGAGTTTATGTATTTTATGTTAATCTCTGTGAAGAGACTAATGCTTACTGGAAGTTAACATTTAATAACTCCCAAGACTAGTTTACCCGTTTCATCTCAACACTGATATTTTAATAGTTGTTGACGAGTCTGCAACTTTATGTGTACATTAAACTGGTAGCATTAAACAATTAAACGCGTTAAAAGCAGTTTTAATTTATGAGAAGTCCACAATTGATTGATGGTATTTTGTTCATCATATAAACTATCTTGTGGAAATGTAACAGTTAACAATTTACTCAATATAATTGTTTATTAAATTGTTTTTCATTCAATTAATTATTTTGAGCTGAAGAAATCGAACAGTCTAAATTGTTGCATTTTTAATAATAATATACAATAGATCTTATGCTAATAGCTACCAATTAGAATGAGCCAAAGGCTACCTGTTAATCAATTAAATTTATACTACGTCAAATGTAAGAGATGTTGTTCAGTGTTTCATTTAACAACTTTGTTTAACATTATGTATGAAATCTGATATTTTAAAATTACACATTCTCCAACACGCATATAAAAAACAACTATCCACCTACTCTCTGTCAGTCTAAGATTTTCAAGACTATATTAAAACTAGCTGTAACCCGCGGGCTTTGCCCCGTTTAACTTCTTAATTTTCAAGATTATCTCGTTCGCATGGCTCAATCACGTCCTGGTTGAAGTTTGTTCGCTACGCTCACTCACCTTTAGGTTGGAGCTCGTTCGCTACGCTCACTCACCTTTAGGTTGGAGCTCGTTCGCTACGCTCACTCACCTTTAGGTTGAAGCTCGTTCGCTGCGCTCACTTGCCTTCAGGTTAGCTCGTTCGCTACGCTAACTCGCCTCCAGGTTGAAGTTCGTTCGCTACGCTCACTCACCTTTTGGTTGCAAATTAGCTGTTGTCATAAATGTAAAAGAAATAATAGTGCTGCACCCTGTTGGTAATTTTTGTAACTTTAATGCTATTGAACATCACAGAACAGAACCAACTTGTTTAATTGAAACAGCTGTTAAGATTCAATAATTTCATTTCTCATAAGGTTAACATGGGAAACTCCAGAGCCACTGGGGCGGAGCCCGAAAGGATTTTTTAAATAAGAATATGCCTATATGTTAATCGGGAATGTGAGCTATCATCATGCCAAATTTCAGCCCAATCCGACCAGTATTTTTCGCGTTCACTTGTCACAAACATACATCCATACATCCATCCATCCAAACTTTCTCATTTATAATATTAGTAGGATACATGAAAAAACCTATGTGCTTTGTATTTTTTTCCGTTCTCATGTTATTTATCCATTGAACATTTATACTCTATATTTCCATTACTCTATTTATTAATTGAATGAATAACCATTTTTAGAAGTTAGTAATTAAAGAAAACTACTAAAATTAATGCCATTATCTAATGGACCTGACTTGATATCGCCTTCAGCAACTGTAGCCCGCTAAGTGTCGCAAAACACCGATTAAGGACGAGTAATCTATCTCCTTAAACAGCATTAAGTAATCCACAGCCAACTAAGGTGCTAATAGTCGTGTCAAGAGATGTTTACGAGCCAATCACAAACAGTAACCGACACTCAGCAGCCAATCATAAGCGTGTAATTATGTTATGGAAATTCCTTTCAGCTTTTTGCCCACTTTACATATGATTTTGCAGCTCTCATAGAGGGTTTTTAACTAATTTAAAGTTATATTGCTAAATTTGATAAACTTTTTAACTTATTATAACATGCAGTGAATGTAGTAGAAATAAAATATATGAAAATATTAAATGTTATAGACCACATACCTATGATGCAAACACAGGTAATAGAAGTAACGAGATATCATCCAAACCCGCAAAAGGCTCATCTAGAGGATAAGAGCTTTAATTTGATACCCAATATGAATATGAAAATAAATATTTAGGGGTCGATTTGCTGCACACAGAAATCCAGCAAATTCTTTTAATAGTACAGGTACATTGGGATTTTGATGGCCTTTGGGACAAAGCCCGAGGACTTTAATCAGAGGAATTGGTGGGGGGTCTACACAAAACATACTTAATTTCACACATTGTTTGTAAAATCCGTCCAATACTGGCGGAGGAGTAGTGTCTCGTAAAAATTGCCTTTACGTACTATTTATAAGGATACGGAAATCATATGCTAAAATTAGTATTAGAGATATTTAAATTGCTCCAGGCCTTGTACCCTGTCTCCATTTTCTCTTTCTAAAACTCCGTACAATTAGAACCTCGTATGTTACACTAAACATATGCTAACTAAACCCTTACGTTAAGATGTTTATTTAACGAAAAAATATTATTTTCAAAGCTCTATGCCTTAGAAATTTATTATTTGGTAGGTTAAACAATATCCATTGGCCTTTGTGTAATAATACAACAAATTAGAGCTTTAATTTAGGTCTTCATTCATATAGTATTGGTCAACACACAAGAGACGTATAAAGAATAGAGTTTGGTTAATAATCAAACATTATTACAGGATTTATATTAACACAGCAAAACCCTACTAAGCTCAAGATAGATAAAAGGACCATGGTTTAAAATTGAATACGCTCCTCTATTCAGGATATACTACTGTGTATAATTAAAGGTAAACACTTTTATTGCAGGGCATTTTACGTTCGTGTAGAGCTAAACATAAGTTACATAGAATCAATACAGATTCACTACATACAACCACACTGTTATCAAAGACAGGCTTGGACGTTCAACCTGGAATTTTGTACTCTGATCACGGTTGACCGCAGTCCCAATCAAATAGTCTCGCCAATGTCAACACTCAGATCGCCTCTGTAGCTGTGATTATGTTTGTGTCTGGACAGAGTTGTCACTTTAGACACGACACAGGGGACGTGGTTAGTCACGACGTGACAATATCTCTCATTAACTGACAGAACGAAATAAAAAACATTACAGTACTATTTTTATAAAAATACCATTATATTTCCTCCACGAGTTTTTACCCAATAATATATCCCTTAAAATTATATTTTTGACAGAATCTGTAGATTTTAATGCAAATTGAAGAGGCGAGTAAGATATATTTTCTTATAGGCCGAATTAACAACCTGCTGATCATATGTGGCACGGGATAAAGACATTTTTTAATGGTTCGAAACTCATTTTCACCTGTAAGATAACCTAAAGCGAAAAATACAGGTTTCACATGCTAGACGTACTGGCTCTGAATTGGTGATATCTCTCTACAAATGCTACACAATAACCTTTTCTAAAACCATTAGAGGTTCATTATATTATCATTGTGCCATGTCTGAAAACAAAACGTTTGTTCAGTTAAACGTCGAAGGCTTATTAATTCCTGTAGTCCTGGCCAGCTCATTAAAATGTTATATTTACATTTTAAGTAAGATACATCGACAGCGTGTAGGTGGAGCAGGAAATGTCTTCATTAGTAGTAGATAAACCAGTCCCGATTGACAGGGATGAGTTATGCCTGGATGTCTTGTTTGTGTTCCTTCCAGGTAAATCTATACTAACGCCAGCTGTCCTAAGTGAGCCAACTTGAACTTGTAACTAAACTGTTAGATATTTATTTACTAATTTAGATACTCTTTTACTATTTTCATAATACGAAATATTAAAAATCTATGGAAGCGACTCGATGATAAAGGGCGAGTTATGGGTGAAATCCTTTCCTTCCCTTTTAAACTTTCCAAAACGTTGTTTCAGGACTGCCATGGATTGTTGCTACCTTACGTTAATTAATATTATAATAACTATACTGGGTAACACACAAATGGTTGAGCTTAAAACTACTGTAGTTCTCAATAAAGTTTTCTTATGTTATTGTAATGGCAATAAATTGAAATTTCAATGCTTAGATGTAAAAATAAAATTAAATATTGCAGCATGCCATTTAACATAGTAAATAAAATTAAAAAGATCTGTAGCAACCCTACTTAAAAAAAACCTTTATACGATATTGGTCCACGTTCAATCTTGCAAAATGTCTTTAATGGCATAATTGTTTTTCTCCATACAATTCTATTACTTTTTTCAGTTGATGTCCACATTTAATTCACAGCATTAGTGAAAAAGTGGTGTGAATCATACAATTTACACAGTAAACTTGAAATCTAGTTGACAATTAATTAGTGGCAGTCTGGGACCGTTGTATAAAGATACGTAGAAAAATTTTTGAAGGGGGAGAGCTTATTTGAAACTCGCCCTGAATACAGCTCAGATACGTTTTAAGCCACTACGTTGCATGCCATACATGTACTTTCAATATTTTCATAGTCTATTAGATCACCTAGTAAAGTACTTCTAAATTATATTTCCATGTCCTTCTAGCTAACAAGTCTCTAACATAAACATATGTTACAGCGGAGTGGCAGTGCCGGGTCTGTATCGTTCAAGATCCTTGCCTCACCTGTTCGCTGGAGACTCCGGAGTCGGCAGCTTCAGCGAGGGCCCCCCTGGCCCCGGGCCCCAGAACAAGTTGGGGCCCGGGGGCCTGGTGGCCGAGCTTCGCCAGTTGCTCACCCTCAAGCAGCACTACTACCCCGAGGGTGGGTGGGGATGGGTCGTGGTCTGCTGTAGTGTAGTGGTGCAAATATTGACCCATGGACTACAGATGGGGTCTGGGGTTCTAGTCTGTGACACAGTCGCCAAGTTTGGCCCGAGTATCGACATGCAAGCAGGTAATTTTGGAAACTGTTAACCACCCCATGGCATTTAATATTTCATCTTGTTGGGAAGCGATATTTCCCTTGGAAGATAATATATTGCTCTTTACAAAAATGCATCTTTTGTTTCGTTTTGTATCTCCTAGATCTCTAGTATCTCATTGTATTGTTTTAGGGGAACACATATTTTTGGAAAATACATTTTCTAAAATATTAACAGTTTTTGTTGTTGTTGCTTAAATAAACATCAACCACTTAAGCTTAGGATGCCACTTCTGTTTTCAAATAACAAGGGGGTGTGCTTTCTGTCGAACAATTTAATTTTATACATCTATGAAACCCGTTTTAAATCATAAACAACTTTAGGCAATTTAATTTAGTAAACGCACTTTTGTATGCACCCTAAATACATAAGTATGCTATTCAGTTGTCTGTATGGACAATAATATATTTCTTTTGAATAAAACAACATAGTTTAAATTTAAATAATGAATTGTGAAGAAGAATACATTCAAAATTGGGTAAACCAATCCCAGCGGACACAGAAAATAAAAATAACAAAATATCGGAAGACTTAGACAAAGACATTCAAACAAAACAAACAAACAAACAGCGCTGATAAGAATTCCAAAGTTTTACTTGTTTCCGCCATGTGGCCAACTAGATTGATTTATTTCAGCATTTGTTTTATTAGAATTTCTCATGTTCATATCTAGATTGTGAGCTAAATAAATTAAGGGGTTTATATTTCTATGTGAAAACATATTTGTAAAGTCAAATGAATAATTCTTTATACTTATGTTTATTGAGTTGGTCCTCTGTATTATCCGTTAGGAAGGATCTAAAAGGACTTTTAAAATGTATATTGTGTTTTCATTTCATCAACACCGATTTCTATCACACATAATAAGAATTATTTTCATGACTCATATTTTAAAACTTATAAGCAATTAAGACAAAATAATATACGATGTATCAAACAAAAATATCTTGTAATAATGTATTTTATATTAGGTAAGCTTTACTTATTAAGACAACTTTGTGTTACGTGTTTGTTCTTCATTTGTTCCCAAATTGTTGTAGCATTATAATCGTTTTCTAATTTCATTAAATAGTAAAAATCTTTTGATCATGTGAATGTATAATTTTTGTTTAAATACACGTAATTAATTCCAATTAGTTTTTTTCTTGGATCTATGATAGATGAGATTTAATTTATTTTCCAAAATATAATATTATTTCTTTGTTTCTTTTGTTGTTTTTGTTTTTTACTTTTAATTACCTGCATTTGGTGAACTTCAATGAGCGCAATATTGCTTGGCTAAAACAGTATATTAGTGTGTAGGATTTATGTAAGCTATACTTGTTTCGTATGATTAATACATACTTTTAGACAGCTGCCCGTTTGTAAATGGATGTAGGAAACATTCTCTCCTAAATTAGAACCCCAAAACCACTTAAATAAACCTCTACTAAATATGTTCCATCATCGAAAGGATTAACTGTTTTATTTGTGTAAAATCTATCTTTGGTTTGCCAAGAGAGTAGGCCTATATGTATATGTTCTTTGTATAATATTTGATAATAGTTTAGATTTACTTACCTACATTTATTTTTGAATAACTATTTTATTATATGAACTTAATGTTCAACACGACTTACATCTGAAGTGTTGTGACTGGGGCAGCAGCTGTATTCCCGGAGAGTGTCAAAATATTCTATCTTTATTGGTTCCTTGCAGTTAATGTCCATAATGTTTCGCCCAATAAGGATTTAAACCCCAACAAAAAGTGGTCAAGCCGGTGGCAAGAGCAACAAAATTTTACAGCCAATTATTTCTTTGTCGGCGACAAGAAGTATTGCTTTATCCCGATCATGTATTATGGATGATGCCTCTCACTGGCAACTGCAGTACGGTACTGGCGCTTTTACACCGGCATTTCTGTCGCAAACATTCACTTTTAAACTCTGTTTTAGAAGTGGCCCATCGTCGTCAAATAGCACATTTGGTTCCGATTGTGTTCAATGTATGGTAAATGTTAAATGTTAAAGGAGTGGTGTAGTATTAAAAACAAGATGAAAATTGTCTACTCACCACGATAATTGTTTTCCCCTTCTCAAACAACCGTCTCCGGAAGTCTTTGTTTACATTCTACTTCTAGTTGTTTTCGTAGGAAATAACTCTCATGACGTAAAAATATTAATCACAAGTTATCTTCCCTTACCCTCTCCTAAATAGGGGACCTGGGGACGAGGCCCACAACGAACTAAATACGGCTGTTAATTTTCATAAAATGTGACAATAGTAAATGTCTTAAATAATTTTACACCTATAAACAGGTGTATTATTAAAATGTAAAATTTCGTTTAGATTACGTCAACCAGCCATTGCTATTAAAACTCGAATAAACATAATGCACATGAGGATTTAATGTCAAAATTAAATTTTATTTAATATCCCTCAGCTAAATTATTTTTTGAAACCGTAACTGAAAGGATCGAAAAATTTAAACATCGTCAACAGATTTAGTGTAGACCCTCCGTTTGCACTGGCGACAATAAATTACACTAATGTCTGTATGATGGAATCTGTCTCCTCCTTTTTCTGGGACTAGGCTGAGGTAAACGAAGGATCGGAAAACAAGTACTTACATACACAGTATAGTATTTTTTTACAATAGGAACATTCTTGAAAGTACTACCTAAAAGAGAACTATTTTTTACAAAAGAGCCTTTCAAATACAACCAACTTGACAGAAGTGCTTTGCAATAGGACATCCACCTTCCCAGTTGCAGTAGGATAGGCTGCAATGATACATCACCTCGTCATGTGGGTAAACAATGAATGCATCGGTAGGAGGATAAAAGGCACAGCCGCTCCTCCACACAGCCACGTCATTGTCTCAGACCCTCTTATATCTTATTAGACCCGTTGTGTGCAAATCAGCTTCGGATCCTGCCACAGTTAGTTAACGTAACATCTCTGTGCGTTAATTGTAGTGACGTTGATTTCTAATTAAGTATTCGTATGGAAATATGTAGGCTAAAAACAAATTGATGGAACGAATCGATAAAAATACAGTGTTTACTTTTTACAATAAGTTTTCCATAATCGCCTATAACTGTGGGGTTATCCCCATCGATGTTGTATCGTGTTGGTTAGTCAGTAACAAGGCTACAAGATCGCACCACTCATCCTACACTCATCTCAATTATTCATACCTGGCTTAAAATGCCTACCTTCGTGTGGTTGCCGTTTCAGTTAAAAGTATTAAAGTATTAAGAGTATTAAAACCAACAGTAATGAAAATAATGTGATGATAAGTACTATTTGCAATCAACTCGTTGCTTTCTAATAAGAAAAATAATCCCCCGTCCTTATTACTAAATTTAACATGGCAGACTGGATCTCCAATTGAATAACAAATCAACAAAGTAGTTTGTCGTATTTTAACCAACAGTCAGCTTCTCTTCAACAAGGTGAAATCCTGGACAAAAGGTGGCCGACTACAATAATTGTTATCAATTCTATTAGCTTTCTCCCCAAACTTCCTAGCGAATTAGCAACCTTTAAATATTCAGGGTATTACCCATATATGTGAATACGATATTCTCCCATCAGTTGTACATTTTCCATCCACACTGAAGTCCAAGCAGTGTCTTACAGGATGCAGATATCTGTTTAGATTGAGGATAGTGCGGATCACATAACATGCAAATCAGAGAGCTGTTAGCGAACTCTTAGATACAAGTAGCAAGGTTCTTGTAATATATTCACTGTCAATCCTTTTTGCCAATAATTCACTTCTGATTACAGATGGATAGCTTTTATAACTAATTTACTAAAGTTTATCTCATGATTTTATTTTTTGATCGGTGTTAAAATACAACAGTTCTTTATTCTATTCTAGTATACAGGTGTGGTGCATTGTATACGAGTAAACATCACACCTGAATGTGAATTAAATAGCTATAACCATTTTTCATACAAATATAACAATAATTCAATGGACTCACAGAACAATATGCTACTGCTAAAATTTTCCATCTTCATTTTGGAAACGTTAAACATATTTCTGACAAGAAAGATAGTTTACAGTTTAAAGTGTATTACACTATCAGTTTTGTTTTGTTTAAAAAGTCTGTGTATACGTCAAAAATCTCTCTCACTTGCTGGCTGGAATAAAGTTTGTTCGTTTTCATTCGAAAAAATAGTCCCACAAAATTCACACCTGAGACGATCGACAGCTTCGTAATATTTTTCAAAACTAGACGTGGCTGTAACCAGCTGATCATTGTAATAAAGCCACAATATAGTTCATCCAACTAGCATCAATTCTCTACTCATCTTTGCCTTCAAATATGTACCCAAGTGTGTCCGGCATTGCAGAAATCAATCTAAAACTAACATTAAAATGGAATGTATATTACCCCTCCATAGGTGTACGCAAACCTGAGTAACTGACATGATCCTTTCGAACAACATACGAGTATAAAAACAAGATAAAGTTAATGGAGTTTGTTCCAACAAGCTTTAGTTGTACAAGTCATAAATACAATGTACCATTCGAAAATTGCATGTGCCTCATTTTCAAATAACTTACCAATCGTGATGGCCAGAAGGCCTTCTGCCACGCGCTAGTCAAACGGCGATCGCGCCAGACAATAGGGAACTGGTTTGGGCCCGTCTTGGCAACAATTAATTACCTATCAACATGCGAGAATTTCGACACGGCACGACCAGTAGCCGTTCTTCAACTACACTAGACGTGTCATTGGTCTCATTAGTCTATGCTGGTTTAGCGGCATTGTTTTTTTTTCGATTTTCCTTACCACCCGACATCATGGATACCTACTAATTGGTGTGTTGGTCTAAATACAGTGATTCATTGTTATGGCACTAAAGTATAGGGAATTTGATAATGAGTTTAGGACAGCGTTAAAACTCATCAATATTATGGACGATTTCAAAATGATGAAACACTTCCTGTAGTTATATATTCCTACAATCCTCT